AGCAGGGGAGGGACAGAGAGAGAGAGAGAGAGAGAGAGAGAGAGAGAATCCCAAGCAGGTCACAAGCTGTCAGCACAGAGCCTGATGTGGGACTCGAACTCATGAACTGTGAGATCATGACCTGAGCTGAAACCAAGACTCAGATACTTAACCGACTGAACTACCCAGGTGCCCCTTCCTTATCACTTGACGTCCTGGGGCTGGGCCAGGGGACAAGACAGCAGCCAATTTGACTCCATTCATTCATGTTCATTTGCTCAGGATAAACGTGATGTGTTCTGTGTTCTCATATTCATTTTGACTAAATGTCGAGTTAGTTCTTTATTTGGGTTTCTATGAGTTTGCTGAGGGCTGTGGAGACACAGGACCACAGGCTGCCTTCAACAGCACAAGTTCAGCTTCTCGTGGTTCTGGCCACAAGTCTGCGATCAAGGTGTCAGCAGGGGGCGGTCCTTCTGAGGCCATGAGGCGGAGTCTGCCGTGGTGCGTTGATGGCCGCCTTCTCCCGTGTCTCTTCTCGAGTGCCCTCTGTGTGTGTCGGGGTCCAACTGTCCCCTCTGTTGGAGGACGCCAGTCATGTTGGGTGAAAGGCCACCCTGATGACCTCCTTTTGAAATGATTAGTCCCGTTGTGATCTGTTTAACAGTTGTGATCTGCTAGGGGTTAGGACTTCACATGTGAGCTTTGGGGAGGGTCCATTCGCACCCCCAACAGGCGTCATGGATGAAATTCGGGGAATCCATGTGCCTTATGTTTACATTTTGGATGATCCATAACCCCAAAGAAGTCAGTTCCTCATTTTACGTTGAAATCTAGTTGATACACATTACGTCCATGTGGTTCGATGGCTCAGTCCCTCATGCTGTGCTCACCGCGGGCGTGGCTCCCATCAGCCACCACACCATCACCTGTGTTCCCCGTGCTGTGCCTTCTGTCCTGTAGTCCTTACACCTGGAAGCCTGGACCCCCACTTGTCATTCATAGGGAAGCGTTTGTGATCCCAGAGAAGGAAAGCCCGATCATTTGAGCATACTGGTGTCGTTTTTCAAGTTCTATAAAAATGCAAAAGGGATCATTTTCTTACAGATTTTTGTGTACAAATGATTTTGGTGCAAATAATTAAAGACACCACAGTGGGGGCACTTGGGTGGCTCAGTCAGTTAAGCTTCCAACTTCTGCTCGGGTCATGATCTCACGGTCCGTGAGTTCGAGCCCCGCGTCGGGCTCTGTGCTGACAGCTCGGAGCCTGGAGCCTGCTTCAGATTCTGTGTCTCCCTCTCTCTCTGCCCCTCCCTGCTCACACTCTTTCTCTCTCTCAAAAATAAATAAACATTAAAAAATATATATATATTTAAAAAAAAAGACATCACAGTGGGGGCTTATGAAAAATAGGAGAGTGTTCGCCAGGAAATTAGGCGGCCTCGGGTCTAACTTTCCCAGTCCCTGCCTGTGGAACACAGAGAATCAGCTTTGTGTCCCCGTGGGGCCTGTCCCCTTGCACAGAGAGGGTTGGGCCCCATCTCACGGCCCGTCCAGTTGTGCTTGACCCGCACTGACCCCGGGTGAGCCGCACTGACCCTGTCTTCCCTTTCCTGCCGACAGGTGTCATATTCAACAGTTCGCTGGGCAGCAGGGACTTGGGGACACCGTCTCTGCGCCCGCCGCCCCACGTCACGTACACCATCCGGACCAGTGTCCTACACAGCATGAGGACAGATTTGGTGAAAAACCCTTTCTGGAAGTTCCATCCTCAGAACCTACCGGCCGATGTGTTCAAGTACAACTACATCTTTGTCCCTTTGCAAGACATGATCGAAAGGGCCATCATCTCGGTGCAGACTGGGCAGGAGGCTGAGGAGCCGGCCACGCAGACACAGGCCATGCCGTACCCCTGTCACACCAGGGACCTGTGAGTAGCCTCCACGTGCCCCCCTGCCGCGTGCCCGCTTTACAGTGAGAAGCGCCTTGCGTTTGGCGTGCCGAGTGCAGAGAAGTTCTGTGTAGTCACGCCGAAGAGCATTTTAGAGAAAGTCCATCCCCCTGTTTAATTTCTTGAGCTGTCCAGACGCAAGGATAATTGTTGAGGTACTGTGATGGTGTAGGACTTGAGCTCTGACACCAGACTTACCCGTAGCGTTAAAGACCCCTCGGAAGGAACTGGAACAGTATTCACAGGGGTTACATGCGTCTGGCTCCAAGGCCAGCCATCTGAGCTCGCGAAACAGAAGAAGGTCACTAGCTCTTCAGTGCAAATCCTTAAAAAGTCGATGTGCACCCCCTACTTTCCGGGAGGAGGGGGATTCTCGGAGGCCCGGGACAGTGGCTTAGGGACGTGTGAGGCGTGTGAGGCAGTCTGGGAACACTCAGGAGTAAACTGGTGACCGGGCTCGTGACGTCCTTGTGGGGGAGAGGAGGGATGGTCAGTTATGGGCTGGAGCAGCTGGACCATAGCCCTGGAAGGAGAGTGGGGGGCAGGGCCAGGAGGGGCTGGCAAAACAGAGTGGACAGCGTGCCCAGCACCGGTCCCCTGGATGCCTGACATCCACCTTGCTGAGGGCCGAGATCTCAGCCTTGAAGGATGTTGTTCCTCAAGCATCTCATCCTGTGCCGGGCTGGAGGCCTTAGGCTGCAGGTGTGGGGAGCACGGGAAGAAAGGGCCGAGGGTGAGGTCATCAGAGGGACCACCCAGACTGCCTTTGCTATGAGAGCAGGGGGCAGATGCAGGTCCTTCCATAGGACACCATGGAGCAGGACCCGCCAAGTAGAAGCCAGGCGACTGGGGCTGCGCTGGCCAGACAGGTGTCTCGATGTCTCACTCCTCCTTCCTGTCTGGCCACATGCCTTCTGCATAGCAGCACATCAGTACGTTTCATGAGGCGAAAGGCAGTATTCCCACTGTGCTAGGAGCAAAGGTTGTACCCTGTAGGATTGTCCTTCTGAGAGCATGGTGGAGAAAACAGGGGTCAGGAACAGAGGCTAGGGTGTCATTTTACCCCAGGCTCTGCCTCACTGTGCAGACCGTTGGTAAGCCTCTTAACTTCCTTGTGGTTTTTTTTTACGTTTATTCATGTTTTTGAGGGACAGAGTGTGAGTGGGGGAGGGGCAGAGAGAGAGGGAGACACAGAATCCGAAGCAGGCTCCAGGCTCTGAGCTGTCAGCACAGAGCCCGACGTGGGGCTCGAATCCACGAATTGTGAGATCACGACCTGAGCAGAAGTTGGACGCTTAACCGACGGAGCCACCCAGGTGGCCCTTAACCTCCTTCTTTGTAAAAGAAAGGAGCGATCCTTTCGGGGCGATGATCGTGTGTCAGCTTTGAACATTTTCTGTCATCGCTCTTCTCCTGAATTATTTTTCTGGGAGGCATTGGCACCAAGAGCAGAAATCGAGGGAACGACTGTTCCTGGCAAAGCGTCATGCACCAAACCTCACCACAGCCCAAATTCCAGGGCCTTGTGGGGTTTAATGACCTGTTTCCAGAAATCGACTCTTTACGATGCTCTCTTTTTAGCCGAATCTCGGGAAGGTTGCATTCTGAAAGCCTCTTTGTAGCTCTTAAGCATGCTGTCGACCGTCTCCTGGAAGAGGGGCCCTGTGCGTACGGGTACAACGTGCAGACTCCCTCCGGTCCTGTTCGCAGGACGAAGCTGGGGTTCGATTCGTCTCCCCAGACGCAGGGTGGCCCCCAGGAGGGTGTGTTGAGAAGAACGATACACATTTCTGCAAACAGCTTATTGTCGAGGCGGAGGTGGCCTGCCAGGTCCCTGGTGCTTGGCTAACGGGCTTGGTGATGGGGTGGGACTGAGGCCGGGTAGGGTCGCAAAGATGTGCCCTTTCACCCCGCGAAGGTAAGTTCTTGTGGACGAGACACATTCGGGCCTCGGGCTGGAGTGAGCCGAGAGCCCCGCGAGAGTCCCTTTCCTTTTTCTGTCTGGAAGCGTAGCTGACATACAGTGGTACGTCGGTTCCAGGCGTAGAACACAGGGACTCAGCAGTGCTGGACACAGCTCAGCGCCCACCACGTTAAGGGTACTTCCCGTTTGTCACCGTATGTGACCACACTATTACGGACTCCATTCCCTACGCCGTGCTTTTTGTCTCCCTGACTACTTGGTTTATAACTGGAAGCTTGTGCGTCTTTATCTCGTCATCTGCGCCACCCATCCCCCACCTCTGGCAACCACCAGCTCGGTCTCTGTCTTTATGCTTCTGTTTCTGTGTTTCTGCCATTGTTTGTTTGTTTACTTTGGTTTTGCAGATTCCACAGGGAAGCAAGATCACGTGGTATTTGTCGTTCTCTGTCTGGCGTATTCCACTTAGTGTTATACTCCCTAGGTCCTTCCGTGTTGTTGTGAATGGCGAGAGCGCATCCTTTTCTATGGCCCAGTAATATTCCGTTGTATCCATACCCCATCTTGTCTGTCTATCGATGGACACTTGGGTCGAAACATTCCCGCCTTGGGCTGAGTGAGCCGAGTGTCCTGCCGAGATCCTGGGTCATGGATTCAGTGTTACTATTCCCTCCCTGGGACAGCACAGCACCGTTTCTCGGAAGTCTTTGAAGGAGGTGAAGAAATATTCTCCTTGACTGAGAGATTTAAGTCTTTGAGGCTCTCATCACCACATACCCTTCTTTTATTTCTAGTCCTAGAAAGCGTCTGTATCTGCAGGGCTGGGTGAACCTATAGGAGGCTGAGGCACAGTTGAGATCTAAGATCCTGGCGCTTGGCCACCTGAGCGATCATTGGGCAGCCCGGTGTAGACCACAGAGCACACTTGTGCGAAATTTTTAGTGGCTCCCTGCTATGTGCTGAATAAGTTATATTGCCGTTAATGTGCTCATTTATTCAACTATATATGTGTACCATTTGTCAGTCCCCAGACCTGGGTGTGTCAGTGAAGGGACAGGTAGAAATCCCTGCTCTCGTGACTGAGTTCAGGGACATGGGGGTCTACACATACAATAAAGGAGAAGCTTGAATTGAATACTGGAAGGTAGTAAGAGAGGAGCAGGTGTAAGGCCAGGGTGGCCAGAGTGCCCAGAGGAATCATTAATGTGGTAGGGTCAGCCCTGCCAAGAAGGTGACATTCAGTCCGTTGAACGTGAAAAATTCCACTGAGTAAATTAATTAAAGATCAAATGGGCTTTGTTGGAGGGTTCCTGAATCAGGCATCTTCCCTTTTGGCAAATACAAAGCTCCCAGAGCTGGAGGAAAGGAAAGGCTTTTAAAGGCAAAGGAGGGGCGCCTGGGTGGCGCAGTCGGTTAAGCGTCC